AAACCGAATAAGGGTAATTGTATGAATCGAAAACCGAACCAAATAAGCATACGGGTTCGGTTCAGTTCGGTTCGGTTCGGGTATTATTCGATTCAGATCGGTTCCAGCCCGAATAAACCCAAATAACATGTACAAGATGATTAAGGAACCGAATAACCCAAATAATCCAAATAACCCAAATAACATTTACAATGTGATTATAAATATTGTATTGTGTATGACTTTTGTCGCTTATGATAAACACGAATAACACGGATTAACTATTCTTGATATATAAAATGTAAAATCCAACCACCACAATCTAAAAATATAGTTTTAAGCAACATATTAAACACTAAACATTAAACATCCAAAACACCCAAAAAAACTATCTAAAAGTATATAAGTTAAACATTAAACATTACGTGGGTATTTTGGGTAACGATTGATAGAACACAAGACCGAATAAGCAATCGTGCAAGTGGAAAAAAATGTGACTTTTCATATTCGGTTCGGTCCTTTTGGACCGAATAAGCCCTTATTCGGGTAACCCGGACCGAATAACCCGAAAACCAAATAAGCCTTATATAGATACCCGAAAACCGAATCGAATTGCTTATTCGGGTCTAATTCGGTTCGGTTTTCAGTTCGGTTCGGGTTTTCAGGACAAATTCTCATCCTAGAAGGTAGTATGCGCCCGTACTACTTGAAGCAGTGGATCCATACTTGAGTCAAGGAGAACCGTGATGAAACCAGTAAGCTTATAGAGTATGAGATCCCTTGATATATATATATATATATATATATATATTATATATATATATATATATATATATTCTGATGGTTTATATTGTCTGTTTTTAGTATGGTGACTCTTCGAGGCATACATGCCAGTTGTTTTGGTGCTGGTGAGGGTTTGGGCTAAGTTTCTGGAGTCGGGCAGTTGGATGATCAGATGCAGGAGTTCATTTTGTCTGAGATTATGTGTTGCATACTCAAGCATACTCCTGTGATATTCGATATGATCAATGATGGTATTGTGGAGCTGTTAGATGAGTGTTTGGGGTTCTTTCCATTTTGATAGGGGCAAGTTCTTTGACCTTCAGGGAGTTCCGAGCATGTGGGGTTCCGGACTACTACGAGGAGAAGGACCCAGAGTGAGTAGGAGATGGTTAGCTGATGTTGCTAACGCATTTCGCACCAACAGTTGTCTCGATGGGGAAAATGTTAGACTTACTTCCTGTCTTCTGAAAGACAAACCCCTGGACTGGTGGGGAGAGGTAGGGCATTCCTTGGGAGGCAAGGCGATTAAGTCCATGTCATGGGATGATTTTGTGACTAGGTTCAGGGATGAGTTTGCACTAGTGATTGAGGTGCAGCAGTTGGCACGAGAGTTCCAGGATCTCTGCCAGATTACTGAGACGGTGGCTGAGATCACCGCGATGTTTCGGGAGAGGTCTCTTTTGGTTCTACAATATGTGGCGGACGAGAAGATGAAGAAGGTGGGGTATCATGAGATGTTGAGGAGCGATATGATGGGTTTTGAGCATTATAACACTACAATGGTGTACATACAACCCTATAAACCTTGGATCTATGTTTTCTCTATTATACATGCAAATATTCTATATTCCAAGGTTTCATCCTAACTAGCATAATATGATGTATATTCAATACAAGAATCTAGTAGAATGACATACCTTTTGATGAAGATTGAAGTCTTGAACCTTTAAGAGCCTAGTGCCTCAAGTGTTGCACCTCAAATGGTTAACACAACACCAAGAACCCTTGGAATAACTAGAGAATAATGATATTTGCACCAAATCGGTTTTGCCCTCTTGTGTATACACACTAGTCCCATATCATGAAATAGGGACCTTTTATATAGTGTGGACGATTATGTAACATCTAAAAATTTTCAACCAATTTAAACTTTTCAAAAACAACCCGTATTCGTTAATTCATTACAAAAAGGTTTTCAATTCATTTATTATCAGAGTATTTCCCAGAACCACGTCATAAATACATAAAACGTGAGGAGCGGTACGATCATGCCTTCGCCTTGCCACGATCTCCTGAAGTACCTAAAACAATACACTGAAAACTATAAGCCCGAAATCTTAGTGAGTTACCCCCAAAATACCAACCACATATACCATACTCATAACATATCATATCATAAACAAAACAGCCATGCACTTCGGGTCTACTGTGTGACTGGTCCGCCGCACCGGGCCTTCAGTCCACCTGGTCCACCCTCCGAGTCTAGCAACATACATCGAATCTGCAGTGTGGTTGGTCCACCCGCACCAAGCCTTCAACCCACCTGGTCCATTCTCCGAGTCTACAGTATGACTGGTCTGCCCGAACCGGGCCTTCAGTCGGCCTGGTCCACTCTCCGAGCCTCGGTATGTCTGATCCACCCTCGTGGGGCCTACAGCCTATCCGGACTGCTCGCCGGGCCTTCGGGATATCCGGTCCGCCCTGGGTATGTTGTCCTACAGCACAAAGTAGGACCTGCCTCAACCCAACCCCAGTCAATCAACCATGTGCACATAACATACAATCATATAGCAATTCATCACTAATCAACCGATCTAACAGATCACATACATAGCACACTCTAACCAGGATACCGACCTAACCGGTCACTAACATAGCATCATCCTATATACCAGGATTCCGACCTTAACCAGGTCTCTAACATATACCATCCTAACTACCAGGATGCAAACATATAGCAAAGCAATAACATAACAACTACCCGGATTTCCATCCGATAAAGGGCCGGCCTTGGTGCCTTAGACCCTGTCGATATAGTAAGGATAACTGATATGTGCATATTTAGTTTGTATTAAGTATAGATTTTTATTCATTTATTAGCTAAATTATTGCATTTCATGGACAAAAGGTACTTAAAAGTGTTTAAATTGTATTTTCAGTCCAAAAATGAAGCTCGGAACAAAAAGAAAGCAGGAGAAGTGGTTAGGAGCTCGAGAATTGAATAAAGAAGAAAACCACCAAAAATAGCACCTACTCGGCGAGTAGAATCAACTACTCGGCGAGTCCAAGTGAGGATAATGACTCGGGAACCCAGATGCTTATCGCATACGAATATTGTGAGACGGACTTGACGAGTCGCCACCTGACTCGACAAGTCGATACGCAAATATATAGATAACTTCTCAGATCGAGGAAAAAAACTTCTGGGATAATTCTGGAGTAATTAGCTGCGATTCAGAGGCTAGAGAAACCCTAAAAGATGAAGATAGAAGCTACAATT